GGCTAGCCTAGGCTATTGAGAGACCCCATTTTTAACACATAAGGTTGAGAATAACATAGAGGAGACCTGATATTGACCTCTGACCTCTGCATACTGGCATTCACGAGAAAATGCAGCTATGTGTGCATACAACACATGAACATGTATGTACAACACAGACACAATGAACAATATACACACATGCAGCTTATCTGAAAGGAAAAGAATAAGATGCAGAATAGAAATTATAGTCAGTTCCTCTAACCAAATCTGAATATTTATATCACTGTGATATGATACAGCTTTGAAGCCATTCAGATTTGCAAGAAGAGTTATTGGGGCTAAAAGCAACAATGCAAATATTCTCATCTTCAGCCTTTGTCAATCGAGATTATCCAGTGTTTAAAGGGATAATGTAAAACACCTTTTCAAGTACAGAATATGTAAGTACATAGTCAAATGTTATGGAGCAATAAACATAGAAGTGAACCTTGCTTTAAGCAGCATGCACAAAACTTGGGTTTATCTAGGCTGTAAATTAAAGGTATCAGAGAAATCCAGTAAACCCCACAGGTTTGAATTTTGGCATCAAGTCATATAGAGTGGAACATGACACTGATTTAATCTTCCAAAGCATAAGCCCTAGTGGGATGAAATAAATAACAAACATGTTTTAAGGGGAATTTCAATTAAAATATTCAATAATTATATGTATTTTTTTTGCATTCTAAGCTTTTCATAGTGGGACCTGCTGTACTCTGCTAATTAATATCCATCCAGTGACACTGACTGACCTTTCACACAATATACAGTGTATTTATTGTGTTTATTCTTTATCCCTTAGCACACTCCCCTTTGAGAAAGTGTGTGCACTTGTGCCCTTCTCTATCCCTTCAAATGTGAGTATGAGAGTGAGAGAACAGAGTGCAGCCCACCTTCAAATTTAAACTTCCAAATTCCTGGTGGGTTGTGAGCGTGGGGTGGGGGAAGGTTTTCTAATTCATTCTCAATATCTTTTTCTAGTTTATTAAACACCTGTATGGCTTTATATGAATGTAAATATGTAATGTATTTACCCAATGTTTCTCATTTAACACAAGCAGATCTTAGATGTGGCAGAACTCTCTCTGTAGACCAGGCTGGCCTCGAACTCCTGAGATCCATCTGCTTCTGCCTCCCGAGTGCTGTAATCAAAGGTGTGTGCCACCACCACCTGGCATAATTAAAATTCTTAACTATTTAAAAGAAAAGTGAGCTTTAAGAACAGTTGAGGGAAACTCTCTGAAAAATCTTAAACCAGTCTGCTGAGAACACATCCGTTGTTACTGACTTAGCAAATGCCCATATTACTTGGTATTACCAAACTTGAAGTTCTGTAGTTCAAGAAAGAAAACTGGTGTTTTCCTGTCAAAAGCTTTTAATTCATTTTGAATTATTTTTTCCCCATTTTAAGACAGGGTTTCATGAAGTCCACACTGTTCTCAAATTCACTGTGCAGTTAAGATGACTTTGAACCTTCCAATTCTCCTGCTTCTGCCTCCTTAGTGCTGGGATTACAGATGTGTGCCATATGCCTATTCTGGATGATGTTTTAAGGGATAGCAAACTAGTTTTAGCTCTGATATTTAAGAAACTGATTTCTAGAACCATTAGCAACTTTACAGAGTGATTGATGGCACGCATTTGTCTATCACAGATGCCCATTTCAATCTATAAAAGATAAATATGTCAACGTTCATGGAATATTTATAAAATGATGTTTGGTGTGTGTGTGTTACATGACACATGTACTTAGTCAGAGGATAATATCCAAGAGTCAGTTTTTTTCTTAATCAAACAGATCATTGGTCATGTGTGTTTGGCATGCATGTGTATATGTCTATTTGCACATGTGTGGGTGAGTGCACATGCATGTGTGACTGCTCCTGTGTGGAGAACCATAGTTGATAGAGGGTGTCTCCCTTGATTGCCCTCTACTTCTTGAGGCAGTGTTGGTGAACTGAGAGTTTGCTAATCTAGCCAGCCAACTAGCCTGGGGATCCCCTCTGTGCTGGGATTACAAGGAGCTGCCACCCTGCCTAATTCTGGGGACCTGAACTCCAGGCCTTATCCTTTGCAGGCCTGAGCCATCTCCCAGTTGATTCCTCACTTCTTAGCGGTCACTGAAACTCTACAATCTTTATGTTTGGTAGCTGGTCAGAAATTCATAGGCTTGGAGGTCACAGCAGCAAGTAAAACCATGGATTGAAATTGCAGGACTCTAATGTCATCCACACTGCTGTGATGAAACACCATGACCTAGGAAAGCTGGGAGGAAAGGGTTTATTTGGCTTACACTTCCACATGGTAGTCCATCATTGGAGGGAGTCAGGACAAGAACCTGAAGGCAGGGAAGATGCTGCTTACTAGCTTGCTCATCATGGCTTGTTCAGCCTGCTTTTTTATAGAAACAAGGGCCACCAGTCCAATGATAGCCCACCCACAATGGGCGGGGCCCTCTCATGTCAATCGCTAATTAAGATGATGTCCTATAGGCTTTCCTACAGATAGGTCTTCTGGAGGCATTTTCTCAGTTGAGGCTCCATCCTCTCTCTGAAGATTTTATAACAAGTTAACATAAAACTAGCCAAGTCACAGGGTCCATCTCATAGCTCTGGCTGTTCTGGAACTCAGTGTAGACGATGCTGGCTTTGAACTTGCTTAAAGATTCACCTGCCTCTGCCTCCTGAGTGCTGGAACTAAAGGCATGCACCACCATGCCTGGTGTTATCAGTGTCTCCACCCTTTTTTAAAGTTACTCCAAGTGGCCCTGTCAATCATCTGAGCAGGAACAAAAATAACCTATCTGTCATAGAGACTTTTGAGGTTTGACATGTTCCTAAAAATGTAGTTTGGCACAATAATCAAAGTTGGTTGAGGATATAACATAATTTATATAACTCTCCTGGGCTATTTTGGATCTTAGTAAGTTGAAGCTAGTTTTATTTTACACGAAAGTCAGGAGATAGTTTATCACACATAAAGGAAAGAAATATATGCAGTTTGTCAAGAAAATTCATCATAATTAGAAATTCTCCAATTAGATAATTCCAGCACTCAGGCTGAAACTTGGATCAAGAGTTCTAAGTCAGAGAAACCCTGTCTCAGAACAAACAAACAAACAAAAAGAGTTCTAGATCGCCAGCTGGTGGTGACATATACCTTTGATCCCAGCACTTGGGAGGCAAGAAACAGGCAGATTTCTGTGAGTTCAAGGTCAATCTTGAACAGATTTCCATGACAACCAAGGCTACACAGGAAAAAAAATCACACAAAACGCCAGCTTGAGATACAAGAGACCTTGGGTCAACAATAACAGCAACAAACATCAAAATCAAACAAACTGAAGTCCCCAGGGGGAAAATAGCCCCACTTGTCTTAGAGATTCCACAAGGATGACTGAATTTCCAAGATAGTAGAGAGATGGAATGTTATAGGTCCAGCGCCAAGTTAACTTGTGCTATCTTTAGTAAGAGCCAAGAAAGCGTCTTCCCAGAGCAGCTCACATCTCCCGACTAGCTTGGAGAAGCTTGAGATCTTCAGGGGGATAAAGGAAACAGAGTTAAGAGGGAAATGTTCAGGGGGAAAAAAAAAAGCTAACATTTGGTACTTGATGGTCAGTCGTGTTTGTTGTCATGTTGACAAAATCTAGAATCATCTGGAGGATGAGCCTGAGTATATCTGTGAGGGATTACAGTGACTGGCAAGATGCACCTGTGATGGGAACGGAATTCTGAACAGTATAAACACGAAGACAATGAGCTGAGCACATTAAAAACATGCTGCTGTGTGTAACCCCAGTGCTGGGAGGCATGAAAAGTGGGGCTTGAGGGCTCTCTGGTGGGCTAGCTTAGCCTAATTGGTTGGTCATCATTGAGACTTTCAAAAAACCAAGGTAGCTTGCTCCTGGGGAGTGACAGCTGAGGTTATTAATCCCTGGCCTCCGCAGGGACCAGATCTGTGCTTATGCACCTACACATACACAAGCACACACGAAGACTAATCAAAGCAGCCAATGACAAGCTTCCAGTTATCTGCTTGAAAAACCACAACCAATGAAATTCGCATCAACCAATTCTGACATCGTAGTGAGACAAAATGCGTCCACGTTTCGGACTTGTTCTCGGTCCAGCCTTTCAGAAACCGCGATTCACCATAATGGTCTCCAACTCGAGTATTTCCTACCAGGCCTCCGAAGGGCTGACATTGTCCACCGCCATGTCAGACGCCTACGGGCTCACTTTACTTTTATCATTACTATTATTTGTTGTTTTTTAAAGACAGAGTCTCTTTGTAGCTTTGAAGCCTGTCCTGGAACTCACTCTGTAGACCAGGCTGGTCTCGAATTCACAGAGATGCGCCTGCCTCTGCTGGGACTAAAGGCGTGTGCATGCAACCACTGCCCGGCTCTACGGCCTCACTTTAAATTAAAAATCGGCAATGGAAAGCCTTCGGATTAACTTCTTTCAGGCCGGAAAGCCTGCATTGAGCATCAGACAGGTCGATCGCGCCACTTCCGGTGGCGTTCCGCTATGTGCCTTTTCCGCACCCTTTCGGGGCCGTGGCTGTGCCGTGGCTCGGCGGCTGCGCCCGCTTACGCGGCCGGAGGACCGGGCGCGATGGTCCACGGAGACTCTCCGGGACTGTGGGCCTCTTCAAAGAAACTTCCGGCTACCCTGTCCCGTGGAGCTCCCGCGACACCTCGCTTCGCGGCAAACTCCGTTCCGCACGCCAACTGGGCGACCAGACCGGAAAGGCGGGCTTTGGCTGCGGGGCCTTCTCCCCCTGCCTTCCGTAGGCGCCGTTTTCGACTGCCTAGCCAATCGCAGGCCACGCCCTGTGGCAGCAGCCAATCGGAGAGGCCCGGAGCCTTTAAGGCCCTCCGTGTGCCGCCCGTTGGCCTCTGTCGCCGCTAGGAAGGTCTTTTGTCCGTTCTATGTGTGTTCCCGGTTCTCTGTACCTGCTCGCGTACAATCCGCCGCCATCGCGCCTCTGCGAGCGTTGTAAAATAGGTAGAGAGGCGGCAGCCGAGAGGTCGCAGACCTGGCCTCGGCGATGGAGGCTTGCGCTCTTGAGGACCCATCGGAGATCGGCGGCGGAGAGGGAAAAGGCGCGGTGTCCGATGAGTGTTGCATACTACGCAGGCACGAGAGTGATTTCAGCCCTTGCTCGCTGATGTGGAGGTGATGCGCGAGCTTTTGGTGTGACCGGGGCCACACGAGCTTGACCGAGCATGCCACGCAATCGTAATTTAGCGAACCCTTTTCCCGAAGCCGTTTTGCTTCGATGAGGTAAGGTCTCTCCGGGCCCTTGCAGCCCTCCCGGCGGGGGACGCTGCTCAGGAGCGCAGGCATAGAGAAAGGCAGGCCGACATTGTTTGCTGTGGGCCATCGTGGGTAGCTTTCAGGATTGGGAAGATTTTTAAGGGAAAAAGGCCCTTTTACACTCTGTAGAATGAAAAAGGTTGCTATGTGGAGTCGTAGTTATTGCCTTTTCCAGGATCTCCGTGGCTTATTTACTACCTCTTTTCTGAATGATGTAGGCCAGCTATAGAAGCTTTGTATTTAAATGACACTGATATTCAAGTATTGCTTATTCATGCCTTTCCAATTTATGTTTATGCCTTAATGTTTATGCTTTTGTAGTTTATTTTCTTTCCCCCGATACAGGGTTTTAAGACAGAAATCTATTGGAAATAACTTGAGGCAGAGGCAGGTGAATCCAAGTTCCAGGCAAGCCTGCATTACATAGCCATACTCTGTCTCAAAACACTCTGAGATGACTGTTCTTGGCACGTGCTCTAACAATGTTTCAGAGAGGAAAAAAAACCTTAAAGTCAGTGGGAAAGCATTTGGCTGTGTGGCATTGCACAAAGCTTTGGGTTTAGTTTGTAGCTCAGTAAGCAAGCAAAAGCCATGCTCAACAAACAACAGCTAGTGAGATGGCTGTGGAGAAAGCGCTGTCCCGGGCCTGGTGTCATGAGTCAGTCTCAGGTATAGGAAGCATTTGTCGAATTTAAGGAGGGGTGGTGAGGTTGGAGTGGACTTTAAACATTCAGGGTTCCAAACATGCAGCTTTACATCAGGTGGTCTCTGCCTTTTCCTCTAGTAGCTTCATATCCAATGATTAAACCTTTCACTGCTGTTCACATCATGAGCCGTTGTGATTACTAAGGAAATAATGAGGATATGTAAGCTCTGCTAAAGTACCGTTGGAAAAGGCATCGTCCCTTGTATGGTGAGTTAAAAGGAAATCTCTCTTTCAGGCATTGTGTTCTTGGTGATGTCTGGAAGAGATGTGGCTTTGGAAGATGACGTGAAATACACAGGAAAGGTATAGTCGTCTGTTTTGTGTATAATAAAATATTCTTGTGAAATCTTAACAGTTTGTGGAAAGGCAATTTATTGTGTACATGCTGCTGTGTGGAGGCTGAAACAACTTAGTTTTCTTCTGTGACATTGGTCTTGGATCTTAGTGACTGGTGTCTTTGTTTTGCCTTTGTATGCCTGCACCATGTGTGCACATTGCAACTGCAGTTGCAACAGTTGTGGGCCATCTTTACAGCAGAACCCTTTAAAATTTAAATGAACTCTGTGTGCTTGTGTCTGACAGGCATTGTGCTTTTTGAAGTTTCTCACAATGGCCCTATGGGATACTGCCAGCTTTGTTACAGGGTTAGTGCTGTGCCTGTTGAGTGCTCTGTGGTCAGATTCCTGGCTAGTTCTGCAAGTACCTTCCATGTGTCCCCTGTAACTCAGACAGTCTGTTTCTATTCTTTGCTCCAGAAAGTGTTGGGCTTCTGGTTAACTTGCTGACTTGGCTGAAGTGTCCAGTTCCTGTTCCCATGAACCTCTTTTATGGGCTGTAGTGACTGGCTTCCCCTGAGTCTGCTGTATCTAATTGTTATAGATTTGTAAGAATGCCAGGAGGTGGTCAGGGCAGTATCATGGCTTCTTTAAAATTATAAAGTTTCCATTTCGTATTTAAGCATTTGGATGTAGTATTTGAATCTAGTAAATGAGTATAATAGAAGTGGTTGGTTCCTTTCTTTTTTAATAAAATCAATTTTTCTGTGTGTACCAAATTCATATGTGGTACTGTAAGACCCTCAGAATGAGGAATCTTCCAGGTTCGGTTGATACCCCAAGAACTCAATGTCAAGAGGCTTTAATGAACAGGAAACGTTTGTGCAAACGGGCTCCTCCAGCACACAGGCTAGAGAGAAACCCCTTCCCCTGGGCCCAGGTGTTTTTAAAGGCAAACCCACAAGCTTAGGGAGAGGGTGGAACCCTCTGTGCTTTGAGTAAGTGACCCTTGGAGGCCGGATTGTCTGCTATTAGGGTCAACAGACCTTAGGGCCTCAGGGTGTGCTAATTAATTTTGTCTGGGCAAACCAGAGTTGCAGCTATCTGTTTCCTAAGGACCCTATTTACCACCTGCTGACTCACAGGAAAGGAGGGGCAGTGTGAATTCTTATCTCAGGGCCTTGAGAGGAAGTTAGCAAATTCCAAGGAGCAGATATTGGTTTCCAGGTCAGTCCATCATTAACATTACTTTTTGGTATTTCAGTACCTGAGTCTGAAAGGGGCCATTAGACCCCTGGAACTGGCGTTAAAGTTTGTGGGCCATGTGGCTGCTGTGGGAAGCTATGTTATTTTACCCTGGCTTTCCTGGAACTCAATATGTAGACCAGGCTGGCCTCTGATTCACAAATCTTAAGGGACGTGCCTTTTTTTTTTTCCTTAGTCTTTTTCAGTAGAATGTTTTCCTTTTTGGTCCCCCCATTTCCTCCTAATTCTAAGCGTGGCTGATAAAGCTAGTAGGAACTAGATTATGATTAAGAATTATCCATATACAAATATGACTAAAGTATATTGACATTCCCTCAAAGCTTGATAAATGTGCATTGTGGTACTTGTCCTTCCTTGCTGCTTATTTGTCCCTTCATGGGTACTGGCTTCTCTTCATTGAACAAGATGAACTATTGGGGACTCAGGATATCCCTATCCTTTAGAATACTGTATTACTCAGGGGTTCTTTAAACGAACAAAACTGGTGGATAAATAGGTTACAAGCATCAAAGTGGGGTTACTAGGGGCTCTCATGCCAGGCATGCATGCACCTTGTATGCATGTGTAAGTCTTAAGAAATTACATTACACTTACAGCACAGAATAAGTAGTTTTATTGCATGGTAAGGTTTTTCCATACCTGTCTTGCTTGGTGACAGGAAGACATCACTAAGTTGACAAGGAGATAGTATAAATAAAATAGATAAAAAAAATACTCCTAAAGTAGCCTGTGATTTTTTTTTTTTTGACATGTTTTACATTAGAATTAGTATTTATAAAACTGTATTTACATTGTAAAAGGCAAGGCAACAGGAACAAAACATTTCTCAGTTTTAAAACTAAAGCAAACAGATGGTAATGATTAGTTTTCTCCGCTGCTGTTCACATTATGACTTGTGTGATTAATGTATGTGAGGACGATTTTTGCAAAATTGTGATTTTAAATATACAATGTAATTTCTGCATTGATTTGTCTATTTTACTTTTTTTGTAGGAAAGAAGTAAAAGGATGTTTTGCATGAGAGTATACCATTTGCAAATTTATTCAGTAATTTGAAGATTTATATAAGGTAAGGGATTTCCAGTTATTAGTCAGGATCTTCTAAGTTCCTAGGCTGCCTTCAGCTCTAATGCTGCCTGAGCCTTTCAGGTACCTGTGATTTTCATGACTGCAGCCTTGGTTTTTCCCTACACTCTTCTGATGCATAGAAAAAGCTTTGAAGGGGACACATAGTAGGTAGGTCATTACTAATGATCAATGTAACCAAAACTTTGACTGTAAGGGCTAGTAACTTCTGCCCTTTGTCATCTGTGTTAAAATTTAAGAAAAGTGGGATTCGAGAGATAATCCCATGCAGAATTTTTTTTTTTTATTTAATTAGGGAAAGGGATCATAAAAAGGGAAGGGGGAAAGAGGAGTATGGGAGGTGGGCAGGGCCCTTTTAGAAAGGAACATAGTAACGGCACAGGTGGTAATCTTAGTGGCTGCAGCTGAGGACCTATCCTGTCAGGACCCCAAGGGCAACTAACACCCCTTTCCTTATGTCACTGCTGTTTACCTGAATCCTTAGTATGCCAGCCTGATTTGTCTCTACCAAGAAAGCATGAAATTCCAGATCTTTCTCAAATGATCAGTGACTGTGTAAGAAAATGATGCCTTAGAAGAGTTAGGAGAACAGACGGGGTGGGTGAGAGTGAACACCTGTGAAACCACTTTTGTTTCTACCAGTGATGGAAAAGTAAAAAGACCCATGCCAAACAGCCTATAAATGCTGGAAAACAGTCTTTAGATTGAAGCCCAGGCTCTTGAAGATATTTAACCAAGACCATGTCAGTGCAAGTAAACCCTTCTTCGTTCTGCAGGGCCTGTTCAGACAGTGGTGTTTCAGCTTCCTGCTACATATGGAAAGTGCTCCTATCACAAGCCTGGTGACCTGAGCTAATCCTGGGGCCCACGTGTAGAAGAGAGCGGACTCTTGAAAGTTGTCGTCAGACCACACATACACAATAAGAAAAAAAAATCAATGTAGTAAAGCTTGAAATATTATAATGTGCTGTTTTATTGAAATGTAAACATGGTAGAAGTGATTATGAAACAAATTGATTCCATACCTTGAGCGTTTTTGTACAAAACTACCCACTGATGGGAGGTGTCATTCTGTAAATGTTTCTCTTATTGGTTAATGAATAAAGCACTATTGGCAAATAGGAACGCAAGATAGGCAGGACTAGGAGACAATGAGGATCATCTCTGTGTGTTATTTTGAGAGATAGAATGGCAGCAAACTGCTCATAACATAGCCTCTTCCAAAATGAGAAAGGGATTAAAATTGTCAAAATACTTGAACTCTGTTTATGCTCATTCAGGTACAGCTGGAGTTGGATAGTTATGTGCTATGTTGTGGCTATTGCCAACCAAAATGAACTGTAATTTCTTGTCAGTTGCTACCTGGTAGAGGGCTAGCCCAAAGTCAACCTAGTCAGAAGTGTCCTTGTTACATTTCAGGAACCATGCCAAATAGGATGGCTGCCCAATAAAAGCAGCTAGTTTGTCCTCATGGATCCAATTCTACTGCTGACCGGTTCATTTGTAGTATACTTAGTACGGTTTTCTATATTCTATTCTGACTTGGATGAGTTTTGTTTTTATTTTTTTTTCTGCCTGCTACTTCAAACCACAGTATTTGGTGGCCAGAGACGGGAGTAGGGAACTCAAACTTTCTGGGTTAGATAGCACTCTCCTTCAGTCAAGGAAATAGTTCCAAGGCCTGTGGTCAAGGGCCACATTGGCTTTGAAAGATCCCCAGCTGTTCAGTTACCATAACTTCAGAGTTGCAGGCCAGTCCCATGGTCTCTGTAGAAGAGTGTTCCTCATAATCGATGGCATGTTCAAGGATTAAGCTGCCATTCCTTGTCTGGTAGAAGACCTGCTCCCTTTAGTTGTCAGGTAGCTCATCCAGCACAAAAAAGCATACAGGCAACTATTTCCTTTCTCAGGCTTTTGTAGGGTTGGCAGGTACTGAGAAGTAGGTTGCCTACTGAGGCCAACACCTTACAAGTCCCCTGAGGACTTTATGATATCTGATCCAAAAGCTGGGAAACTTAGGTTTCTTGACATTTCACTGTTGGACCTTGTCAGTTTTAAGATGAAAGCTAGAGAGCTGTACCAGGACCTGTCAGACGTGCCTCAGTAAGATGAGACAGGAGGTTTTGTCACCAGGGGTCAGGCCTCTTGTACTGTAGACTCATTGGGATGTTCTTCCCTAAAATACCCCTTTGGTGGTGGTGGATCTTTGGAATTCCAGGTCAGCCTCCAAAACCCTGTCTCAAAAGAAAAGCTATCATGTCTTTCCCCACAGTATAAACCCAGGTCTGGTTATTTTCTTATTAACAGTAGACTTCTTGCTTAGGTTCCTTAATTCTCTGAGGGATGCTATGAAAACTGTTTTTGTTCTATTGAAAGAATCAGCCCAGGCTGATTCAACTCAACATCTAGCTTGGGGATTTCAAACTCCCCTTGTGCCCCTACCTTCCACATACTGGCATTATAGGCATGTGCCACCAGGCACATCTCTTAAAAAACTTTAAGACTCCCCCTTTTCCCTGTTCACCTCATTGTATCCCTGAATTACTCATCCTCATTTTCCAAAAATCAGTAAAACCTTAAGGTTCAACAAAACCAGCTATAGAGTTTGCTTTCTAAGGTATCATCTCCTTTCTGGTCACACTTGGCTCCTTGAAGTCAAGGTACCTAATGAACCCATGTCAGTCTTACCACTTAGGAACCTGTTTTTAAGGACCTCCCGACAGTCTCTGGCAGTCTGAGGGAATTTAACTATGGACAATCTGATCAAACCTTTGGGAAGAATAGTTTTCACTAGTTATAATTGTAGTCAAATCCTCTAACTCTGCATCTTTTACTTGGACCTATACCCTGAGATTGCTGCTATAGACACTAATGAGGTCTGGCCCAGTGACAATCTCCAAAGCTAAAAACTGGGCACCTCAGCTTTTCCAAACCCAAACAGGCTCAATCCTAAAAGCATGCAGACTGTATGTTCGATGGGGATCTAGGTTAGGACCCCACTCAACCTCCACTGGGCTTGAACTTTGTATATTTTCCCTGTGGCCCCTAGGAGCTGCTATGTGCTCCCCTTTTCAGACATTCCTGGAGGTGCTTCTCAGGCAATCCGTACTGTCTGTTGAAATCCTGAGGATATGGTGTGCTTTCTTTGCCAGACTCGCACCTATTGCTTTTGTATCAGCACAACTGAAACTCCAAAACATCAAATGCACTCACTGTTCAAAGAAAATGCACATGTTCAGGGACAGAACAATTTTGAAGTATTTGGTCACAACCATCCTAGGTACCTTTCTGTCAAGGACCACTTTACAAAGTAATTGGTTCCATTTTGGTGTTTTCAGGTTCTTATATTTTTAACCTATTTGTCATATTCATCTCTAGGATTCAGCAATTTTGGACCCTGTGATTTTCAACATGGATTCCAGCCAATACCCTCAAAGAATTACCAGTAGGCCCTTTATAATGGGCCACCAGGATTTTCTTGACAGCTATTCTTAACTGTCCCTTCATGACTGCTCTGTCATCCCTAGACAAATCATCAACAGGAAGTAAGGGCAGCATTAAAGGTTTTATGCAGGCAGGGGCTGGAGGCATGGCCCTGGGGTTAAAAGCTAACAATGTTCTTTCAGAGGAACCAATTTCATTTCCCAACATCCACAAGGATGAACTGACATCTCTGGCCTCTACAGGTGCCTACACTCAATATTCACTCCCTCCCATAATTAAAAATAAATCTTTGAAAAAAAAATTTCATGCTGCCCCAAACTCCAGAAGAGGCCTAAACTGCTATGGTTGGCCCTAGAACAGGCCTCTAGGTGTGTAGGCATGCACGGAGTCCAGCCCTTGTACAGAGTGTGAACCAGTCGGACTTGCTCTATTTACATCACAGGATCCAAAAAGGGCTGTGTGCAGCAGGCATTTCAGCAACCGCTCCCTGGGTGGGTTTTACTGCCTGTGACTCCACAAGCCTCATGTACTCAGTTGCCTCCACGTTTCCAGCTTCAGAGAGTAAATCAGCATCTGGAAATGAACTTTCTTCCAGAGAGTTCCCTGTTCATTTGATCCAGAACAAGGCTGGATTAGCAGTTCACTAAAATGAGCTGAAAGCAGACTTTTGTGAATAGTACAATTTTTCTTTCGTAGGTGCAGGAGGTCCTTTTCCAGCTCTATTCTGTAGAGTATCACTTCAATACCAGTAATGGACCATAATACTGCTACTCAGGAACCTAAGACAAGTTACCAAGTTCATGGACAACTTAGTAAACACTGAGGGTTGCAGATAAATATGCATTGGTGGCAGTGCCCTTACCTCCTATGTGCTTCCTGTTTCTCCCTTTTATCCCACGCCCCCTACCCCATGTGATTATGCCACCCACCCAGGGTGGTCCTGCCCCTGTAAAGTACCCTGGAAGTCCTTTAGGTCTGTTGTATTGGGGATTAGTGCCTATCAGCCTGTCACTGACTCTACTGCTGGAGTTAGATGGTGGCTCCTGCCCTAAGCTGTTACAGGTCCTGTCCTGGTGCTGGAGGTGGGGCTGTGGATGGGCTATTTTCTCAGGCAGTAAACTTCCTTTTCTGTTTTTTAAAGTGAAATATGTATGTAGGTCACTGAGAGGACGAATTAAAAACATTTCCACTTTCTAATACTTAGCACTACTGGCTTGTGGCTAAGGATGGAACAGAACCTTGTGTATGCTAAAAGACACTCACATTGTAAGTATATCCCCAGCTTGTAGAGACAGGGTATCACCATGTAGTTCAGGCTGGCTCCTCACAGTCTTCCTGCTTCTGCCTCAAATCCCAGCTTGCTTATAATGTGTTCAATAAAGCTGAGCAGCGGTGTCGCACACCTTTGATTGCCAGTACTTGGGAGACAGGTAGATTTCTGAGTTCTGGTCTAGAGTGAGTTTCAGGACAGCCAAGGCTACACAGAGAAGCCCTGTCTCAAAAAACAAAAAAAAAAAAAAAAAAAAAAAAACCAACCAAACAAACAAACAAATAAATAAATAATAAATAAAACTAGTATTTTAAGGAAGCCAAGAAAAGAGTTGGTGTAGTTAATAGGTATAATAGAGTTAATAGGTATAATAGACTGAATTAGGGGACCAATTCAGTCCAGGTGTATAATGCTAATATATTAGCATTATAGGAAGTGGTTTTCTTGTGGCTTGATAAAATAATTCCTCCTTAACTAAAAAGTAGATCTGGCAACCTATCTATAAAGATTGGAAGCTCTAAGGAAGACAGTAATATCCTTTTATTTGAAATGTTTGGGACCATATGAACTCATTTGTGAAAAATCACAGAAATATACTAGAGCTAGCCAAAGTTGGAAGATAGGCTTCATTAATTATTTGGTGAATAGGGAATTCCAGCACCCAATTTCTGTTTCACTTGTTTTAAGTAGGTGCCCCCACGGACATGCAGATATTGCTGGAGGCCAGAATAGAGTGTAGGGCCCTCTGCAACTGAAGTTACAAATGGTTGTGCATCGCCGTGTGCGAGCTGGGAAATAAACCATGTCTCCAGCCTTTGCTGTCATTATTATATTTTGTTTTGCTTTAAGACAGACTCTCTTGCAGCACAGGGTTACCTGCCTGAACTATGTAGCCTTGAATTCCTCCTCTCCTAAGTGTGGCATCACAGCCCATTTCATTCTTCTCTTTTGCTCTAGAGACCGGCTTCTGCTATACTTCTCAGTTACTAGTTTATATTCACTTCTCAGTTACTAGTTTATATTCCTGATTTCACTTTCTCTGTGTGTGCTTCTGTCTGTCTGTCTCTCACACACACACATATACACACATGCACGCGCGCGCGCATGGCACTTTGTTCCAATGGCGCAGGGTGAGTGCCCATAGGTCTGAATGGCACCGACAGATACTGAAATATTAAAGCTACCAACTGCATTCGATATAATTCACTCACAGGTTCTAGGACTCCGGACGTGTGCGACAAATTCATGTGTAAATTCTCAAAAGGCAAATGCAGGCCGCACGCCTTTAGTCCCTGCACTCTGTAGGCAGAGGCAGACGGATCTGAGTTCGAGGCCAGTCTGGTCTACAGAGTGAGTTTCAGGACAGCCAAGGATACACAGAGAGAAATCTTTTCTCTAAAAACATAACGACAACAAACGCAGAAGCAAGAGAGCCTGCCCAGCTTTCGCGCTGTCGGCCGGGTGTGGCGAGTGTCGCGAGCGGCTGCTGACGCCGCACAGGAGAGCTACGTGGCGTCCCCGCGGTCACCGCGGCCCTTCCCTGGAGGAGACGCCCAGCGGAACTCGCCCTTGATCCACCGCCAAGCGGCCGCATCCCTACAGGGCGCGCCTCCTCCAAAAGCGGACGCAAGCCCTCCTCCAGCCCGCCAGGCCTCCTGCGGCACCCTGCTTCCGGAAGTGCCGTCCCGCCGGGTGGGCGTGGCGAGCCACGGCTTCCGGAAGTGCCGTTCCGTCGGGTGGGCGTGGCGAGCCGCCGCACCCGGAAGTGGCG